ACTGCATGCAAGAAAGATGCAAATGCACGACTTGCGCTCTTTAGAAGAAATAAACTGTACTAAATATATGCACATGCAGATGCCAAATTTAGCGCACTAGCAATGACACTGGGTAACAACTCGAACAGGCCTAAAATCCAATGTGGAACTCTATAAGAAGACCGGCTGTAATAGTATGGTCCTAGAGCTCTAATGCCGACGCTTGCGATGGCTTAGACACATCCTTAGAATGGATCAAGACCGCATTCCTAAAGTCGTTCTGAGATGGACACTATTGACCTGCGAAGAGAAAGCCTGGACGCCCAAAAGACCACCTGGCGTAGAACAGTAATGGAAGAGCTGGTTGAGACGGCTAATAAAGCTTTCGGTGGGCGAGGCACAGTCCAAAAGACCAAACCCAGTACGTAGAGAGAAATTGTCGAAGCCTTATGTCCCATCAGGGAGGAAGAGGATAAGTAAGTAAGCAAGCAAGCAAGTAAGCAAGTAAGTAAGTAAAGTCAACGACATATATAAGGTGCTATCAGAGCAGCAGGTAGCCGCTGACCGATCAAGATTCAAAAACGGAGCCTGAAAATGGACTACAGTAAAAACCCGCCGCGTATAAGAACCCCTGTTATTCCAAGATAGGATTAAATAGATTCGTATTTTTGACAGGGTAAATACAGCTTGCTGTTGGCCATAACACTAAGTGACTCATAAATCTATTTTGAATAAAGTATAAAACATTGATCTTCAGGAACAAATTAGTCCTGTACATTTGTTATTATCCGGGACCTCCAAAGCACACTTTGGTCGTAAGCCTGTGGTTCTGAACCTTCTTCATTCGTCAGGTTGAACTGATGTGGTTCTTTTATATATTGGACGGCTTAAACTTGCCCAAAAACTAATTCAAGCCTGCAAGTTCTTAATCCACAGTTTCTTATTACACGGGTTTTTACTGTTATTGGCAGTAGTTTACATTGGACAGGCGATACTGCGATGAATAAGATTTGACTTGATCGTATTTTCTTATAGTCTATCCACGCGCTGGTGGTCGAGAATTCTACTCTGTCATTTTTGACATCTATTCCTTGATCCTTGATAGACGGTTTTTGCGCAGAAAGAACGGCCCCTTTGGTCACTAGCTAATGAGTTTGAATTAGCATCGAGTTCTACCTGCTGTCGTTGACAACAAAAAGACCAGAAGTTCACAAGATCGTTTTATCTGAACCATAATTCTACCGCCCGGAAAACCTGAATACCCTTACAAAATGTATATACTCACAGACATCTTTCTGCAGTCTACCCACATAACGGTTTTTTAGACCAATTAAAGGAGCTATGTCACGATTAATTTAAGTAATTTTTGCCGAGGTGCAAATATCATCTCCCAATATGAATAAAGTCCTCAAAATAAATAGTTTTCTAAGGTAGAAAAACACACCAAATAGGTAATAATAAACCAAACAGAACAAGGTATGGTTGAGGATGGAGAAGATTAAGATGTGATTGCGAAACGGCGAACTTGACAAAAAATGGCCAGTTTTTTCAAGATGCGCCTATTCCGTGGACGTAGCTCCTTCAAAACAAAGTCATCCCAGCCCGACAAGCTGAGGATAACAGAAAAATGATAGCCTTTTATAGCGTATACATGCCAGACGCTAGCTTTTATAATCACCCAAATAATTTATAGGGGTAAAACTTTTAAGATAGTTTATGTCCGAGTTTGACCCTGAAATTAAAGGTACAGGGAGTCCATTTCAGAATTGGCGAAGATAACGCGGCAGAACCACTGAGTCAGTTATAGTCATCATAGTACTAGTCCTGTAATAAACATCTTGTATGAAACCCCGGTCTCTTGTTGCAATAACTTGATTGATGTATCCGATCAAAAGCTTACTACAATAATACTTTCCTTCACAAGATTTAACCGCACCAGCAGAGTCCCATTATTTTATCTTCACTACTCCCACATAGTAATTATAGCAACCATCGATTTACTATGCTCTTTCCCACTGAATTAACATGCACATGGAGCTCAGCCCAATAATTCAGCACCAAAATAAATATGAAACCGAAAAAACATGCCCAAAGAAGAAAACCACGACAGCTTCGACGATAGTATGATAGAGCATGTATGGCCCCGTTGCTTTTCTTCAGATTCTTTAAACATATCGATGCTTTAGAGAGGCAAACCCCTTGTTAAGGTATCGATAGGTACACGCTATACAGTCAACCAAGTAGAGAAGCTCTCTGTCGCTTTTTCCAAAACAACACCTTTGTATAAATTTGTCATGAAAATGTTAATGTGTCGAAACGTAATTTGAATTCAAATATCATTTTTTGGACGTATTCTAAAGAGCTTGTCAGAGCCGATCGAGAACTGAAGTATACTTGCCAAAAAATAACGGGACCAATATTTCCCCCAACGAACGAATCGTAGTTCAATGAAGTTTTTAAAATATTGGCTCTTTTAAAACTTTACATCCATTCTCGGCAAACGCGCGCGAAAATAGAAGTATAAAATGCATGTGTGGCATTTACTTAGCCTCCTCCGCAGGCAACTCTTACATAAAGGCACGAGTGAGAGACTGGTACGGAGGACAAAAAGGTGACTGAGTGGGGGTGGGGGACAGGAAGAGAGGAAAAGGAAGGTTTTCGCTCGCCTCGGCCCCAGTGCCCGCTCTTTTGCCCCTTTCTTGCCCCAGACCCCGGAGACCCAGGAGTTGCCTGCGGAGGAGGCTAGCATTTACTGTAAAGTAAAGCTTTGTAAGGCTGAATTTGCATCTGACAATATAATGTATAATAATAGACCCTATTCCAAAATGGCTGCCAATTTAAAATTATTTAGTACGCATTTAAATTTTCCTCACTAACCTCGTTCTAGAGTAAAAATTATTTTGAATTATCAACTCAAAAACGAGGTTAGTAAGGCAAATTTAAATACATACAAAATAATTTTATATTGACAGCCATTTTGAATAGGGTGTATAGACCACTTTAGCTTCGTATGGAAATTGCCCATTTCAGACCACGTGATGTTCTCTAGGGCATTGTTCCTTTCTCTATCTAAATGTATTCGTTCATATACACATGAATGTGATTCAATTCGGAACTGAAAGAAACAATTATCTAGAGTAACATCACCCCGGGGAGGGACTTCCATATAACGGGGGTGTTTGTCGTACCTTTTAGGGGTTAAACTTGGTGGTTTGGTACCGCTTAGGGTGTTAAAATGTGAAAATGAATTGGTACCTTTTAGGGGTGAAAATGAATTCGAGCCACGCCCACAAAACGAGATTCTGATACCTTTTAGGGGTTCCTTTCAAAATTTCCACGATCCACCACCATTGCTTTTATATGGGGAGTCCCCCCCCCCCCCCCCCCCCCCACCCCGGAACGTAAACCGGAAGTAACTAAACGACACGAAGCTATTGTCAGGGCAGCAGGTAACCGCTGACTACAAAGAGTGATGACTAAACATCCAACAGGTACGTAACAGGAAAATGGCATTGGCGACAAGCGGGCATCAATTTTAAATCTTTTAACTAACTGAATTGCATGGCCATCCTTCGATATCTAAGAAGATGATTCTCCATTTTGCAAAGGAAAGTGTGTTTTCAGTCGGTTATCACTCCATTCCTCTATATGTAGACATTTTAAATTCCAGAAAATTAAAGAGTCCTTTAACTAGAAAAATATATTTTCCCATCAGCAATTTAACAATCATGTTCTAGTTTGACATTAAGTTTCTACCTGCTGTAGCGGAAACACTGACTATGGACTAATGACACCAGAAGTTCACACGATCGCTTAGCTACACTGTTGCTAAACCCTAAGCTTAAGATAACCGCATAAGTTTACTGAATTCCTTCCGTCCCATAAAAAGATCAAAACCCTAACAACCTTATACCGCCAATTTGCGTAATCAGTCATTTTGCACAGTCTACCAACATAAGGGTCTTAAGATAATTTTAAAGCAAGTCATCGCAACCCGCCAGAGATGACAAATCCATTCCAACACCGTATACATCGCTTGTTTCAGTGTTCATATAAGGCAAATAATCCTAGCTTGGCAGTTTATGTCCGGGTTCACCTTGAAAATGGAGTGATCAAGAATCGGGCCATGGTCAGATAAACATCTTGTATGGAGTCGCCTTGTTGAATGATAAAATATATCTTAGTTAACACTTCTCCGATCACCAGTCCAATGACTCAATTGCCCTCCAAGCACATCCATCCAAGGATCCAAGATTTATGCTAAAAGCTTTCGTAAGCGCCATTGATATTGTTTTGTTAATTACTCTTGTAGGAATAAACGTCACTCTTGAAGAGCAGCCAGTATTGCTAAATAAGCCTGTTTATGCTCGGTCGTCACAACATTAGTAGGAACGCGATGGTCGTAAAAACAAAAATCATAACAGCTTCGAGAATAGCAGATAAAGGACGGTTGCCTCGCTTTCTTTTAGCTTCTTTATCATATTGGCAAGCAAACTTGTTGAGTATCACGCCTTTGTAAGTAAATAAAGATAATTATTAAAGCTCTTGTTTTTCAAAACCACACCTTTATACATACAAATTTGTCACTAAAATATTAATGCAGTCAAAGATAGTTTAAATTCAAGTATAATACCATGGAAACATTTACCATCTTTACATGTATTACTATCTAAAGAGCTGGTCACAAATGTCCGGCATCAATTAAAAATTTCGCCGAATGCTGTATGAACCAGAAATTCAGGAGAGATGTCCAATATCATGCGCTATCATGTATAATAATAATCTCTAGGCAGCCATTTTATAATGCGTTTTCCTAATAAAAAATTTCTGATGCACTGAAACGCAAAGATTTTACATATGAAAATAGCACCACCTGTCGAATGGATCGCGACTCGTTAACAGGATAAATTTCAAGAAATGACCATCTGCAACGTTTTGTATTAATTTGCTTAATTGCAACGCTCCTGAGAAAGATGTTTATCAGTCAGTGGCACAAGGCTTCTAGGAAAAAAAATTCTGAGTTCTCCCCGCAACAGGAGTCGAGCCTCTGACCTTCCGCACACCGGTCGGACGCTCTACCACTGAACTACAGGAAACTCGTGGGAGCTTAGGCCATATAACTAGTCAAGATGTGGAATGGTCTGCATTAGACCTATAAATAATATGAATGAATCGACTTTACGGGGTTTAATAGCGCTGTTTTGTGATTGGTTGTGGATCTCGATCTGAAAGTTAATTAGACTGAATTGTCACCTTATGGATGGGGCGTTGGTTTAAGCGTAGATAAAGGGTAAAACAAGAGAAGATGATCTAAGAGAAGGATTCCCCGTGCCCCATGATAATTTTTTGAAATCTATTAATAGTTTCGTGTCATTCTGTGAAAGTTATTTTATTTCCTTCTGAACGAGGCTCCCACATCACGTTGCTCAAACTGACCAATTACAATCAGGTAGCGCTCTTAAAATAGCCCAGCTATGGACTGAAAATTAAAAATAGATTTCAAAAAATTATCATTGGAAGAGACCCATGCATGGGGGAATGCTTCTCTAAGATCATTCTCTCTTGCTGGAGCTTAAGGATTGGGGGGCCGTGTAAACATAACGTAGGAGCACACCTGTTGTCTTATAGCACAACTGGTGTGTTGGCAACGAACCTATTTTTGTTTTTGTATATCAACAATTGGCACCGAGGTCAAAATGTATTGTTGCGCTCAAACTTCAGGTTCTCAGCAGAGGCCCCACCTCAAAGGGCATTGGGAGACAAATCCCTCTCTCCCCTTTTTTTTCTAATCCCCCCCCCCCCCCCCCCCCCCCCTCCTATACGCCTGACAAAATGATGCCAGACGTAAGAAAATAAAGATATCTTAGGATCAAGTGGTAACATCATCCTTCCTTTAGTTTCTCATTCGAGTCATTGAAACTGTTATGAGGAAGACGAAGAAGAAATTCAGCTACGATCCCACTGCCTCTGAAAAGGAGAGAGATCCCGGGATCGAGTAGCGTTTTCATATGACGTCACGGCAGCCATATTGGTGTTACCCAGCCTCGATCCCAGGAAGGGAGGAAAAGGACAGAGAGCCTAGGATCGAGGTTGGGTGTATTTCTCTCTGGGAGATAAGTTCTTTACTTATGGTTATGCCTAGAATGGTGTAATGTTCAAATGGTTTCACAGATCTCTAAGAGTAAAACCCAACGGAAGACAGGTAGAGCACACATAACTGGTTTCAATATTTTGTTATTTAATACCAATCACCTCAATTAGCCGGGGACTAAACAATAAGGCAAAGATACGCTAAACTAATATCTATTCACAGAATTAGAAATTCATATGTTTGGTCTAACTATACAAAAATAATTACCCACTTTACCCTTAGGAGTAAAAATTAATTGCAATTTTTCCATACGACATTTACTTTTTATGTCAAAGCATTTTAATAATACATCTTACCCAGGATAAACAATACATATTAACATTTTGTTTTGCTGCAATAAAAGGTTGATGATATATTGAAACGGTTCACTTTTATAATTCTGACTCATTCGGAAGCTAAATAATTTTCATTCTATATATGAATAATCTACTTGCGTTGATACAAAATTGTTGATATTTGTTAGTAAACATATTACTGCGACGACTATGCATCAAACAATGGTCTCTTAAGAAAGAAAAAAAAACAATTATGTCCCTTCCTAGCAAACATGAAATGTTTCTAAAGCCCAGGCCAAACGAGGCTCTCATCGACTAACATCACCTCGGGCCAAACAAGAGCGAGAGTCGTCGACGACTCTCGAGAAAAATTTGAGGCAGGTTCAAATGCGATGAGAGCGCATGAGAGTCGCAGAGAGTTTAAGGGTTTCAGGGCCCGGGCTTCAAGGTAAGATAAACGCGAGAGAGTTCGGTCATTTTTCTCTCTCCGCGTTTTATATTTTTAGGTTTCGCTCGCTCGGAGATCATTAGAAAGAGGGACTATTAGCTGTCAATATTAATAAGACATGATCAATAGTAAAAAAAAAACATTAAATACACTTTATAAATATACTACGTGATTAAGCTTCAAGGTATTAGCGCATTATTTTAATAAAAACTGTATAAAAATCGCTCGTATAAAGAGAAAAACACCTTTATCATCCAGCAGATGTAGAACTATGAATGAAGATCAATACTTTACAAGTTTGTCGCGAGTTTTGATAACCATGCAATATGTCAGAGTTTAGAAATAAAAACAAACAATAATTTTTCTTGAAACGGGATCGAACCAGTAAATACGCGGTAAAATCAGTGTAAATGTATTCGGAAGAGCGCGTGAAACCGTTTTTCTATACATTCCATGGCCGGCGTATGGGATATGACGCATATATCCAGTGAAATCACAGCCTAGTACCAGAGGTCTATAAGTTATAGACCTCTGCTAGTACCCAGGAGTTCCCTTCCCGCTATATCGTGACGTCATGAATTTATGGCGGCCATTTATGACGTCACAAACTGATGGCTGACCCATTCGTTCCCAAGACCTTGCCTTGTGCTCGGTCTTTTGAGAAAAGCTTACGGACTAAGTCGACACTATACCACATATAATGTCAATAAAATGGCTGACTACAGAGATTGCGCTCAAATCTGATCACTTTTTCCCCATTTTCTCGAATAGCGATTTCATGGCCAAGGTCCGCTGTTGGCGCTTTTCCTGAAATGTAAAATGAAAATATAACGTCACAGACTGACTACAGTGATCAAGGAGTTGGAGAACATCGGGATAGTCCGATGGAAAGCTATGGTCGAAGCCCTGAGGACTCGAGCGGAGGACTGGTTACAAGGCATGCCTCTAGAGGGGCAAAGAGGATTACGAAATCCTCAAAACAATAGTTTACTAAGGTAGAAAAAAACACCAGAGGTAATAATAAACTAAATAGGAACAAGGATGGTTGAGGATGGAGAAGATTAAGATGGATTGTGAACGACGAACTTGAAACAATTGGCCAATTGTTTTCAAGATGCGCCATCCGTGACGTAGCTGACTAAACAAGACGAACTACATGACAGAAAAAAGTAATAATGGTTGCCGTTATTGGTTAGGCAACACTTCGATAATCACAGTTTGTAAAGTTACCTGCACGCCAGATTGAGCTTGAAAGGATATTTTACTAACGGGGTTGATTACAAAACAAAAACAACCCTCAACCGAAGTTTTTTATTTCAAACTAAACCCTCACAAGCAATAACCTCTTGCTTTTTAATAAGATTACTTAAAGTTGAGTAGGAAGATATCAAACGGGTTCTCCTGCTTGCTAGAGAAAATTAAGGCATTTGGAATTACAATCATGACGTAGTGGTTACGCTGACACGGTAACTGTGAAATGATGTGTACCTCGTAAAATGAGTCAAGTTAGTGCGTAAAAACTCTTTGGATGTCAATTAGAACGACACTAACCTTTTCTTCTTTTTCCCTTCTCTTTCTTTCAATCTCCTCTTCCAATTTGCGCTGAAGACAAAGTAATCAAACATTAAAGAAAATACAGTAGAAGCTTCCGTAAGCGGACAGCCTCGGGAAGCAGAAAAAGTGTCCGCAACTGGAACTGGCCGCTTACGAGAATGTGTAAATGCAGAGTTCGTATGAGCTAGAGTTCAAACGGGTTTGTTCAAGGCGGCCGTAAGTAGAGCTGTCCGCTTACGAGAGTGTCCGCTCAGGACAGCTTCGACTGTAAATTAGAGTACGAGGGCCCTATTGAGAAAAGTTGCAAATTAAATGAAATTATATTTTATCCACCAAACCTGTTTTCTCGGATTTCTTTTGTTCCTCTTTCTGTCGTTTTTCCAACAAAACTCTTTCCCTTTCATTCTGTAGTTCCTCCTCCCTTCGTCTCTCCTCCTCTTTTTCAATCTATCATAACAAAGTTTCAATATTAAAAATATTTTATTACTAGTAACAAACTAAGTCGGGCATATCATTGAGAAAGCAGATTGGTAACATCACGAAAGCAGCTTTGTTCTGGACACAAGATGGGAAAAGGAAGCGAGGAACACCCAAAATACCCTGGAGAAGGACTGTGGCAAAGGAGCTGGCATCAGTTCATGTCTTGGAGTGGGGCCCAAAAGCTGGCACACTGTGGAGGCCTTATACGTCGTATGACACGACAAGGACCCAACCTCGTACCCAAACGTCTCTCTTATTTCCAAGAAAATCTTTTCTCCTTTCTATGGTCCCTCGCGCTCGTGACCAGTCGCTCACGCTTAGCGCTCGCAAAAAAATGCGAAGGGCCTGAGGAGGAGGCTGACAAGGACGATGATGAGGATGACGACGCAATGCGCATGGAACCGGCTCTGATTCACAAAATCAATTTCCAAGTAATAAAGAGAACTCCAAACTTATATCGTTGATTACTCTCTCCACATATTTATCATTTCCTTCAACAAAAGCTGACAACTTCTCACCTCGATCCTACTCTTTTTCCTCTCCCTTTGATCCCTAAAATACACACAAAAAGAACAGCGCAATGTTAAAATGATACACGCACGCTCAGACAAACTGCAAACACCCCCCAGGGCGGGTAGGAGTGGAAGTTATGTCACAGAGATCAGTTATGAGCGAGCTTTTGACAGGGAACAACGTTGAAAAAACAAGCTGCTAGCGGGTAGTTTGTAGTGCAAAGCCGGCTGAAAAATACTTCCGAGCCTAACACTAACTGACATATCCTCTAACCCTGGCCCTGATATGGGTAAACAACCCTAACGTTAGGCTAAAGCCAACCGCAATATACAGTTTACACGACGAACACGCCGACCCTAACCTTCGCGCTAAACCTACATATGTAGCCCCAACTCTAACCCAATTTTAAGCCTAAGACTAACTTAGCTAACCCTAAGGCTAAAGCTAACCCCACGGCTTACGGCACGACGAACGCGCCGAACATAACCAAATTTCTGGCATCGTACTTATTTGTACTGAATGATGGGTTATAGAAAAAAAAACTAAAACAATATGTCACCATTTAGTACGTGCACTTACTTTACTTCGCTTCCATCTTGAGACTGTAACACTGTCTCCCAGTGAGCTGCCATTGAATGCGTCAGAGAGTCTCGATTTGACGAGGGCTTTTTGACC